ACTGTGTCGTCTCAAGCTAATTATTGTGCAATTTTTTTTTTTACTCTCAGCCCAGACATCAAAATAAAAACCAGACGCAGCCGCTGCTAGATAAACTAAACACCCGTCCCTCCGAAAACCCTTAATTGTACGGCGGTCTCTCTGCGAATACCAAAAATGACAGGTTTGCAACCAAATCCTTACATGCAGAAATCACAAGGAACTTGGCGCTGAAGGTTACGCCCGCAGCTGCTGCGACCTTCAAACAGCCGGAGGCAAAACTCGCCAAGGGTTTTTTTTTTTTTCCTCCCCCCCCCCCTTTGCTGCTGTTTAACCCCTGCACTGCCAAAATATATACTGTTAAACAAACCTAACCCACGAAGATTAAAGGGTGGCGATAAAATACAAGGTTTCAAGTAAAACTGAAATTAATATTTAGGACAGTATTGAAACACCTTTAGGTCTCCATCACAAGGGGCATATTACGGCGTACACCCGTGCGAGGGCTGCCAAATACACCGCAGTGGACTAAAAATTGTGCATGTGGCATTTTTACCAACGCACCACTGCGCTGGGAAGGTGCAGTGGAGTGCCATTAGGAATCGACAGCACTGCAGCCCACCTGTGAGCGGTCACTGCAGTGCAATGGTGTGAATAAGCCCTTAATTTCCCCTTTAGCAATGTTCATATCTGTATTTCGGATGTAACCTGTGGCTAAGCATCCCCCAGCCCCAGAGCCCAGACCGTAAGGCTCGGTTCACATATGTGCAGGTGGTGCGGCTGCGATCCGCACAAAAATCCGTGCAGCCGCAGCACCCACACAGGAATGCGGGCCAGCGGGCGGGTGCCATTAGTTCTAATGGCACGCCGCCAGCACTGGTAAACGCAACCGTACTGGGAACCGAGGTTCCTGTGCGGGCTGCGTTTTTCAGAACAAGTGAAGGGACTTCTTCCCTGCATGTCACGGGGCACAGGAGTCCATTCAAATGAATGGGCTCTCGCAGCCGCATATATGTGAACCAGGGGTTACAGCATGGAGAACAAGAGTTAGTTGGAGCTTTACACAGCACCCACTATCCCATGATCATTGGTGCAATGCTTTGCAGGCTTCTGTGGAAAAGATCAGCACATTTTTTTCCCTAACAAGAAAAAAAAATTGCATTTATTTTTTCAGGGTGAACTTAGACTTCAACCCCTTTACTGGCATGGCTGCATGTTGTATGGACCTGACAGCTGGGGTATTTACACACACTCCTGGTAGCTGCAGCCACCAGGATTGTGTGTACATCTGACAAGCCGACTCAGATGGAAGCAATTTGGGCAACTCTGCCAACCCCCCTGGTAACGAGTGTCCTGCAATGTATCCTGGGCTCTGCTTGCCCGTCTGCAGGCCCTGGCCCAGCATAGCAGGTGCCACCAGGTAGAGGAGAAGGAGCTGAGCAGTGTCCGCTCCCCTCTCCTTCTTGCTGCCCCTGAAGTAGCGCGTAAAATGTAAATTCCGGCTCCCCCTTTCACTTTACCATCTGCACTGCATTAGATTCATTAAAGGACAGTTGAGACATCTAAAACGTCTTTTAGATTTCTCATTAAAGAGAACCTGTCAATCAACGAAGAGGATGTGGCCGGAAATTCACGACTATTTGGGATGCTTGGTTGGGTACACCAGGATTAGCGCCAATTCAGCTAGTCAATAGGATAGAATATTAAATAGCGGAGTCTCTTCAGGTTTGCTGTGATATACATATAGACAGGAGTTAGAGCCATGTGTACTAAATATGCACATCTGGCAGACACTGGACTTCTATCTATTGCACTAAACATGGATAGGTTGAGGCAGCTTGATTTTTCAAGTTCAGTTTGGTGAAAGAATGGTTTGTTTTGACTGTTTGGGTTTTCTTTTTTTTCATTCTTTTTTTGATATTTTTTTATTTTTGAAAAAATTTATGGAAAATATTGTGGTTTGGGATCTGTACTTATATCCTCTGTATGCATTGATATATACTCCTTCGTATCACAATGTTGTAAACTGTTAAACCCAATGCTATCCCCTGCTGGAGATTGGGGTTATAGGACTGTGTATGTACATGGATCCAAACTTCAATTAAAAAAGATTAGATTTAACCCCTTGCCTACAGGGCACTTGTACCCCCTTCCTGCCCGGGCCAATTTCCAGCTTTCAGCGCTGTCACACTTTGAATGACAATTGCGCGGTCATGCAACACTGTACCCGTATGAAATTTTTATCATTTTTTTGTGACAGATAGAGCTTTCTTTTGGTGGTATTCAATCACCTCTGGGTTTTTTATTTTTTCTTAAACCAAAAACCACTTAAAATTTTGAAAAAAAAAAAAGTTTTTTTCTTATAAAATTTTGTAAATAAGTGATTTTTTCTCCTTCACTGATGTGCGCTAATGAGGCTTCAGTGATGGGCACTGATAGGCTGCACTGATGGACACTGATAGGTGGCACTGATGGACACTGACAGGCATCACTGATGGGCACTGAAAGGCAGCATTGACTGGCACTGATGCACACTGATAGGCGGCACTGACTTGCACTGATAGGTGGCACTGATTGGCACTGATGGGTGACACTGAAAGGCAGCTCAGATGGGCACTGATATGTGGCATTCATGTCCACTGGTAGGCACTGATGGACACTGACAGGTGGCACTGATGGGGCTAGACAGATCATCAGAGCACACTGATCATCAGTGCCCTGATGATCAGTGTACATGTCCCCTCCGCGGAAAGCCGATTACCGGCTCTCCTCTCGAGCTGTCAGCGTGACAGCTCAAGAGGAGAGAAATGCCGATAACTGGCATTTCCCTGTTTATATGCGATCAGCTGTGATTGGACACAGCTGATCACATGACCGAGCCGATATCTTGGCTCTTTCCGTGGATCGGTGATCCGGTGTGTCCCTCACCGCCGATCGCCGCGCATGCGCGGTGAGAATAGGAGGACGTCATATGACATACTCCCAGAACGAGAGTACCACCTTGCGCCCGTCATTGTACTATATGGCGGGCGGGAGTTGGTAAAAAAAAAAGTGAACCTGTCACCAAAAAAAAAAAAAAAAAAAAAAAAAATCAACAAATTGGGGACTGTCAGCAAAAGGGCTAAATGTTATCCTACGCAGCTGCTTCTACAAGGACAAGCTAAGAGCTAAGTGAACACAGCTAAAGCCCAACGCCAACAAATGTTTTTCATGTTTGTCAGGTTTTTACTTTGTGGTCTGTATCCCCAATTAAGATTTTGCCTCACTTCCTGGCTGGACAGCAAGTGACTGTTAACCTCTCCTTAATTTTTGCCCTCTTACAGGGACAAGAAGGAAGAACTGTGGCAAAATGACCTCCATAGGGATAACCAATAGAAGTATTTATGCTTCCCACATGTATCTAAAAACTAAACATTTCGGTTAGAGTAGAGCTTTAACGACGTGTCAACCCCAAACACGAGGAACTTCTCTTATTTGCTTCCTTTAGGTCTGCTAAATATCCCATGGAAAGATCTTTGAAATATCCATTTATTAAGCGCAAAACTATACTTGTTATGTTGGTTTCCTCTGCATGCTTCCTTTGTTATGTCAATAGTCTAATTCAGGGCTTGCAATTTCCACTCGCCTGCTCGCCAATGGCGAGTGGAAATTATGGTGGGGGGCAAGTGTGTCTGTACGTGCCTGAGTGTGTATACATGTGTGTGTGTGTGTGTGTGTGTGTATACATTTGTCTGTGTATACATTTGTCTGTGTGTGTGTGTGTGTATACGTGTATCTGTGTATGTGTGTCTGTGTATACGTGTGTGTGTGTGTGTGTGCATACGTGTGTGTGTGCATGTTTCTGTGTGTGTATGCACATGTCTGTGTGTGTGTTTGTTGGTGTCGAGTAACTCTAAGGCCTGGCTAGTAGCTAAGGACTTGAAATTTTGAGCCCTCTAATTAGCCCTTTCACGTCTCATCTTGGGCTACAGAGACAAATCAGTCCCTATGTTGTGGTGGGATTCAGAGGTTTAGCAAAAAATAACAGGGCAGGGCTGACACCATTTCTTGTCAATTTGAAACCACAACAGGTGTTTTTCTGCAGAGCAGTGTTTCTCAACCTTTTACAGTCAAGGAACCCTTTAAAATTATGGGCAATCTAAAAGGCACCCTCTAAAATCATGCACAAATCTCAAGGTACCCCATTATAAAATAATAAAAAAAAAAAAAACTATTCTAATAGTTTTACATAACGTAGCTACACCCGCACATGTATGATACCCAATGTTAGAGGTGATTTATTCTTCCAAATCAAATACACTGGTACTGACTAGTATTCCAGTGTTTCTCTTCTCCTTAAATTTTTTTCTCCATCACTGAGCTAATGTGACCCCAGCACTGATGGAGAGGGGCGGAGAGGGTCAAACAAGGATGCTGTGCAGACTACCAACATCCTCCTTATTAACCGATGATGTCATTGGCTGTTGGGATGCCGGCGCCTAGAGCGTCATAATGGTGCACAATGAAAAACTGTGGCTTTCGGTAAATAAAAGGCAGGCTTGATCCACCGCTGGCTTGTATACACGTTTCAAGCAATTTTTAGGCATTTTGCCAAGGCCCCCTGAAGAAACCTCAAGGCACCCGGGTTGAAGAAGGCTGCTGTAGGAAAATACATGTGCTGCAGAGATTTACTGAATATTTTTGTTGTTTATATTGCCCTGACATGCAGTTTAACCCATCCTGCCCAGATCCAACCAGGTCTTTATGCTGGGGGCAGAAAGGATTAGCCAATCATATGACAACTGATGCCAGCTAAAGGTTATGAGCACTGATAGCTCAGTCGCTGTGCTGGAGAGCACAGAAAAAGCTCTGCCACCCAAGGATAGATGCGTGCGGCATTGAAGGAGTCAAAGCCCACCCTCTTTGCCGCTACACATATACCTTACATGGGGGGCAAAAGGTTAAGAGACGATTCCCCATGCAATAATTCCAGCACTGGACGGCAGCAGCAGAGGGGTTAATAAAGTGAAAAACGGGCACACCTCTTGTTTGGTTTTGGTGGTGTAGCCCTGGACAGACTCCCGGGCCACGAGGCTTTCCAGTGCGTCTTGGACGGTGCGAATCTTCTCTGACTGGATGTCCAGCTGCAGGGTGAAAAACGGTTGAAGAGTGGCTGATTCCTTGGAGCTTTGCTGGTACACGACAGACCTGGAATAGAGAGAATAATGATACAAAATTCAGGATCAATCAGTGATTTGCCGATACCAATCAGGAGGCAATGTAAAAAAAAAAAAACAAAAAAAAAAAAAAAAAAAAAAAAAAAAAAAAAAAAAAAAAAAAAAAAAAAAAAAAAACAAAACAAAAAACAATTTTATATACATTGTAACCAACCAACTTATTGCTTGCAGGGCAATAAATAGAACAGATACAATGTAGCAGTATAATAAATGCAGACAATGTAGCAGTCAAGAAATCAAAGAATCTTTTTACCGAGATTTTATATTCATTGTAACCAACCAATCCATTGCTGGCAGGGCAATAAAAAAATATACTGGATACAGTCTAGTAGCATATTTGATGAAGACAATGTAGCAGTAAAGAAAAACAGAATCTTTTTACCCAGATTTTAAATACATTGTAACCAACCAACCCATTGCTAGCAAGGCAATTAAAAAAAGGGGCAGACTGACCATTCGAGCACTCAGGACTGCCCGAGGGCTCGAGGTCAGTAGGGGGCCCCATGAGATGCCCTTGGTACCTTTCATTGGCTTTTTCATAGTTTTTTTTGGGTGTGTGCGAAGACACAGGGGCCCCATGAGTTGTCAGTCCACCCCTGCTGCCATGTTACTTTACCCCCTTCCTGACCAGGGCAATTTACAGCTTTCAGCGCTATCACACTTTGAATGACAATTGCGCGGTCATGCAACACTGTACCCAAATGAATTTTTTACCATATTTTTGAGACAGAAAAAACTTTATTTTGGTGGTATTTATTCACCACTGGGATTTTTATTTTTTTTGCTATGTAAATGAAAAAGTCCAAAAATTTTGAAAAAAGTGTTTTTTTTATAAAATTTTGCAAATTAATATTTCATCCTAAATCTTTGCCAAAATTTATTCCGTAATCTTTTTAATAAAAAAAAAAATCCAAATTAGTTTATAACCAAAAATTATAATTTTTAAACTTTTTTTTTTACATTTATTTTATATTTTTATATTATTTTTTATTTTTATTTTTTTTACATACTGTCACCCAAGCAGTACAGTGTCACCATGGTGACACTGTACTACTAGTGGGGGGTGATGAAGATTTTTTTTTTTTTTTTTTTTTACACACTGATGGCTTTTACACCCATATAGGATGTAAAAGCAATCATTTCTCTTTCTCTCTGTCTGCATTCTTGCACTCATTGAGAAGTACCGAGTGAGCTGTGATTGGTCACAGCTTGTCACATGGCACAAGGCTGTTGTGAATAGCCTTGTACCATGTGACCTCTGTGATCATTCACAGATTTCACACGTAGTAAGCAATGATGTCACAAGTGACATCTTGCTTACTACTTTGCATGTGATCACTGATTGGCCAATCAGTGATCACATGATCGGGACCTCGTACAGAGGTCCCGTCCGACGATCAGTGTTTCACTGTGTCCGGAAGACACAGCGGCACCGGAGAGCGCGCACAAGCAGGGTGCGGGGAGGCCGTTTAAGAACGGCCACCCGACCCTGCACTGCCACCGTTCGGCCGTTTATATGCAACAGCCGGTCGGGAAGTGGTTAAGTGCCCATGAATTGCACATGAACGCGCTATGCATTGCTGTACAACTCATATGCAATCCGGGTGCAATGCGATCCCATTCATTTAAATGGACTGAAATCACGCTAGACCGGACAAAAAGTAGTGCATACACCATTTACAAAGCACAGAGCGACTAGATCGCATGGTACTTCTGTACTTTGCGATTCAGTGCAGGCAGACACACTGCATTTGCAACCTGTGATTAGGGTGTCATTAGCATTACACCCACTGCAGATCACAAGGGCAGTACATTTTGAACGCGGTGCAGGAAGCATGTACGGAACGCAGGATTCCCGAACCACGTTCTGGTGTGAACTAGCCCTAAGACCAGGTGATCCTGAATTAAAGGTGCTTATTCAAGCATTTCCAGTTTTTCAGGTGACAAATCTCTGTCCTTGTTTCCCAATTGCGCTCCTGTGTTGTCACATGGGTTACCTATGAAAAACTACAAGTGGCCGATTGAACAACCATTACACAGGTATGGTCCACTCACTGTTTTCACCTTCAAGAAACACGTTCTGAGAAATGCCATACAGCCAAATCTGGAGTGTATGTATGCTGAAGTGGCTGCAAAGAGGCTGCAGGAGATGAGCAAATGAGGATATGGGGGGGAATTGAAAACGGATTTTTGATACACATTGTGCAATGACAACTCAAGTTATCTGATGCTTCTGAACAAATCACTGCTTCTGTTTTTAATCCAGCCAGGAATCTAAGATGGGTTCAGTCCGCGCAAGAATCCACAAGACGGGTTTTACAAACACTGGACACTTCACTTTTTTTTTTTTTCCCTGCCTACGTGGAAGATTTTGCGGTTTGCAATTTACGACCTGTTCACAACTTCATACTTTCCAGATGCAATGACTCTACGGGGAAGGAGCCTACGCACAATGGCGCCTTTCTTTCTTTTCGTGTGGCGCCTCCATCTTCCAGGAAGAGAATCCACAGGACACCCGGGATGAATGAAAGAAAGAGATCGAATCCAGGCCAGATCTTCTGGAGGCTGCCGGAGCCTCTGTTCACAGACACTTCCGCATGCAGTCAATGTAACTGAACCTGGGCCGGAGCTCTCCAATCAGCAGTGAGCATGAGCTAGCCGGCCATCTTTGAACAAGGACAGCTGAACCTGTGAGATGGTTCTGTAAACAAACTCCATTTTTAATATCTTTCTCTATTTATTTTGTCTGAGATTGTGAAGCAGCCATCTTCTGTTCAGAATACACCGATCAGCCATAACATTATGACCACTGACAGGTAGTGAATAACACAGATTATGTCATTGGTCCTAGATTGTAAGCTCCCAGGATCAGGCCCTCCTATCCCTCTTGTATTGAACTGTATTGTTGCTGTATTGTCTCCCGTTGTATTGTAAAGCGCTGAGCAAACTGTTGGCGCTATATAAATCCTGTATAATAATAATAATAATTGGTTTTAGGAGGACAACAAGTTTGAAGTGTTGACTTGGCCTCCAAATTCTACAGATCTTAATCCATTGAACATCTGAGGGATGTGCTGGAAAAAAGTCCAATCCATGGAGGCCTCACATTGCAACTTACAGGACCTAAAGGATCTGCTACTGAAGGCTTGGTGACAGATACCACAGCATACCTTCAGAGCTCCAGTGGCATCCATGCTTCAACGGGTTACGGTGGGTGGTCATAATGTTATGGCTGATCAGTGTACATAACCAGGACCACAATAGACATTCATTGACTACGACTGGCTGTTGGCAATCACATAATCAAGAACCAATGAGAATGTTTCCAGGTCAGAGACCAATGCATTTGCAGCAGCAATGTGGTAATACAGATAATTTCTGCTGGAGAATGTTAAATCTGACTTATGACCTTCCCTTTAGTCTAGCACAGTTGTACCGGCTCCTCTCCTGGACTGAAATGGCTTACTCTGATTTCACTGCACACTGTGAGCTTCTCATAATGTGCATTAGAAGCTGCAAGTCACATAGAACTCACCTCATTTCCTGGCTGGAGGACATCCAGTATCATCTAGATCTTTCCTCCCCAGCCTCACTGTCCCTGGCTTCCCCCTTTATTCATTGAAATTCAATTCTTTCAATCATGAAGTCTCAGCATCAAACGTGGGTGTTACCTAGGGCATTCTGGAGGAGTGCTGCAAATACCTAGGGCATTCCTGGGTAGGCTGCAAATGCAGCCTACCCAGGAACCCCACTGCAAATGCAGCCTACCCAGGAACCCCACTGCAAATGCAGCCTACCCAGAAACCCCACTGCAAACGCAGCCTACCCAGGAACCCCACTGCAAACGCACCTACCCAGGAACCCCACTGCAAACGCACCTACCCAGGAACCCCACTGCAAATGCAGCCTACCCAGGAACCCCACTGCAAATGCAGCCTACCCAGGAACCCCACTGCAAACGCACCTACCCAGGAACCCCACTGCAAACGCATCTACCCAGGAACCCCACTGCAAACGCACCTACCCAGGAACCCCACTGCAAACGCACCTACCCAGGAACCCCACTGCAAACGCACCTACCCAGGAACCCCACTGCAAACGCACCTACCCAGGAACCCCACTGCAAACGCACCTACCCAGGAAACCCCACTGCAAACGCACCTACCCAGGAACCCCACTGCAAATGCACCTACCCAGGAACCCCACTGCAAATACACCTACCGAGGAACACCCACTCCTCCAGACTGTCATCCAACCATCAAGGCATTTTTATATTTGTATAACTCTCCCTACTGCTTGCATCAGGGCTGAGGGCTCTTGAGAGGAGTACTGAGGCAGAGTGCTGTGAGGTTTTCAGGAAGCTATGGTAAAGCAGCCAGGTAACCCCTCCCACCAGCCATGAACTGCCTTCATTGCAGTGAAAAGCACAGAGACCAAGTGATAACATCACTGAATCTAAAATAAAGCATGAAAATGGAAGGGTTCTATTTTAAATTATTAATGTGTTTATGAGGGGGGAGAGGAACCAGGAAAGGCAGCGTTAATCTACAGATTGTGGGCAGGAAGAAGTTGAACATTTTACATTTATCACAGCCAACTAGCCCAAATTAATCATGCGCTGATCACAGGATTAAAGCCCTGACACCTTTGGGATCTCACATGGTAACTTGTGAGTCTAAAAAAAAAAAAAAAAAAATATGTAAGTTCTAAAATCTCTTATTGTACAATTAGCATCATTTACCAGGTTTGGCTGAAAGATTATTTTCACAAGATCTTCAGCCAAATGACAGAACCCAAAGTGACAAAGTGTCAAAGCAGAAGCCAAAAACCGCCTAGCGGAGGACGATGTACCAAGGATGGAGGGGGAACAAGCTGTCCAAAGTGTGACCACACAACACAGAGATCGAGCAGTTGTGGTGAAGGAAGTGTATTACATTACACCCCCTCCACTCCTCCCAGCAGATGTCCCACAGCATCCTGTAGACTGTTCGGTTTGTGGAAAGTGCTATACTCTGGAGGGAAAGCCCCAGATCACACCTACGGTCCCGCGCTGCATTGATGTAAATCAGAAGAATTTCCGGGAAGAGACAGCAGCTGACAAATTTTGGTTCTGAAGGCTGCCTTATGCAGACTTGAGTATTTATTTCAGATACTTATATAGAGCCGTCAATTTACGCAGCACTTTACATATATATTGTACATTCCCATCAGTCCCTAACCCTCAAGGGGTGTACAATCTAAGGTCACTAACTCACATTCATACATACACATACTAGGGACAATTTAGACAGGAGCCAATTAACCTACCAGCATGTCTTTGGAGTGTGGGAGGAAACCCACGCAGGCACAGGGAGAACATTCAAACTGCGTGCCTGCGTGGGTTTCCTGCGGCTACTCCGGCTTCCTCCCACACTCCAAAGACATGCTGGTAGGTGAATTGGATCCTGTCTAAATTGTCCCTAGTATGTGTATGTATGAATGTGAGTTAGGGACCTTAGATTGTACGCCCCTTGAGGGTTAGGGACTGATGTGAATGTATAATATATATGTAAAGTGCTGTGTAAACTGACGGCGCTATATAAGTACCTGTAATAAATATAAGGGCGTGTATACAAGAGGAGAGGGTTATGGCTAAAGGAGGACAATGGGGGGTGTTCAGTAAAGTGCTGGGAGCGGTATAGCGCAGTCAACCACTACAATTCCCAATGCCCACAATTCAGTGGAGGAATGGCCACAGTGAAGGAAGGGAACAACAACATACCATATCATCATAAGGTGCAGAGGTAGGACAACCCCGGCGCCCAAATGGCACAGCTGGCCCAAAGCGGAAAATTATGGGAACTGCCAAGATCAACAGGTCACCAACGTACTAGGCGTAATAAAAATGTTAATTTTTTTTTTTTTTCGGTACAAAGCACTGTTAAATTTTTTTATTTGGCTGGAATTCCAATTTAAAGAGACACTAAATTTAAAGTGATGGAGGGAAAGGATATCACCATTAGCCCATCTACCACTACTATATACATTGTACTCATTGATCTGAGCTCTCTAGCTGCAGCTCAGTTGGAACTCTTGCTCTGCTGCCCTAATGGAGTGGGGCTTCCAAGTATGCAGAAGCATGGGACCACCCTGGTGTGACAGCGCTTAGTCACCAGAGAGGGGGCAGGGCTGCCAATGGACACCAACACATAGCCAACGTGAACTCCTGCAGCATGGATAGGAGGAAAAGAGGGAGGAGGAGTAGGCAGCACAGTGGCTAAATGCTTAGCACTTCCGCCTGGCAGTACTAGGGTTGTTGGTTCAAATGCCAGCCACTGCACCACCTGCCTGGAGTTTGCATGTTCTCCCTGTGCCTCCGTGTGTTTCCTCCGGGTACTCCAGTTTCCTCCTACACTCCAAAGACAGGTTAATTGGCTCCTGTCTAAATTGTCCCTAGTATGTGTATGTATGGATGTGAGTTAGGGCCCTTAGATTGTACACCCCTTGAGGGTTAGGGACTGATGTGAATGTACAATATATGTAAAGAACTGCGTAAATTGACAGCGCTATATAAGTACCTGAAAAAAAAAAAATAAAATAGGAACACATTTTACCCTGAATGGGCAATGACAACATATCATGGTACATGGTGCCAGCATATAGGCCCAGATTTTATGGTGTTCAAAGTCCTACACAAACTGCAAGTTCACCAAAATTTTAAACAATTCACTTCCTTATTTGTTTCAGTGATAAAATGAGTTTCTCGTGGAAGGATAGGGCCATGCTTGGGAGCCCAAAAGTAATGTCAGCAGCGGCCCACTATTGAGCCAGAAAGTAATTCAACCCCTTTGGCCTCCACCCAAAGCTGAGAACTTCTAGGGCGGACCATCAGACTCACCTCATGTGTCCTCCAAAGATATCTGTGATGGGAGTCTGGACAAAGTCAGCTTGTCTGGTCACTGAACTCTTGTTGCGTGGTCCCACCTGCTCCCACTCCTCATCACTACCCTCTCCTTGGTCTTCATGGTTCACCTCCTCCTCCTCCTGCACTGGCTGCGTCTCAGGACCATTTGAAACAGATATTTCTTTGTAGGAAAGAAACAAAAAAAAAAAAAGAATCGCATAAAATCACAGAATAAACCGATCTTCCAAGATATCAATGTACAACTGCAGCCAAGACTTGTGTTTTTTTTTTTTTTTCTTTCAAGCTGACCTCAAGCCTTCCCTTCAGTCCTGCACAGTTGTACCGGCTCCTCTCCTGGACTGAAATGGCTTCCTCTGATTTCACTGCACACTGTGAGCTTCTCATGCATTAGAAGTTGCAACAAGTCAGATAGAGCTCCGCCTCATTTCCTGGCTACGGGATGTCCAGCATCATCCAGCAATTTCATTCTCTGTATTTCAGTTCTTTCAATCATGGGGGCTCAGCATCACATGAGGGCATAACTTGTATGCAACTGTAGCCTGTGGAGGAATACTCACTCCTCCAGGCCAACACCCACCCATCAAGGCATTTTCACATTTGCATAATTCCTCCCAAGAGTCACTACTTGCATCAGGACTGGAGGAATACAGGGGCAGAGTGCTCACTACTCAGGTGCTCTGAGGAGAAACATCTAGAAATGCTAAATGTGACTAAGTAGTACCCTGAAAAATCTATATTTTTCTTAACTCGTGAAAAATAGCATTGCCCTTCCTGGTACGTGAATGCCGAGGCACTCCAAGTTCTGTAGTCTCATTGCTGTATATCTGCAGTGCGAGATCTAAGCCACTGCTGCCTCTGCTAGTCTCAGCAGATCTGGAGTGAGATTTTGTGATGTAACTACTGTTCTTGCTGGAGGCTCTGACATGAGGAAGCAAAGCCCTGCCTCCAATATTAGAAAAAGCTTGTTGCTAAAATTCCAGAAAACAAGCAGACAAACATTCTAACAAGCAAAACCAATGGTGGTGTAACCAGGAGAGGAGGAAGAGTATAATACAGAACAAAGAACCGTACTGTCATTTTGTGGGTAGAGCAGTTTCCTCAGTGACAACATTTCTTCATGCAATCCATTCAAAACGAAGCCGAGATATTCCTCTGCGTCCTCCTGGCGCCCCTACAAGAAAAATTCACAATGCATCACAAACATTGTTGTTCATGAAATTTCTATGGTATGATATGATATAGGGATCTAATCAATTGTCATCTTTTACCTTCTCAGACAGAGTAGATTTGGAAACAGTCAGCAAGCGGTAGATGTATGTGGGTTCAAAAGGTGCCCCCGGGCGGATGTCTCGCATGACTTTGTCACCGGGAACTGCCAAAAAAGAGCAGAGATGTAACTGATCTGACTACAGAGATTGGATTGGTAGCCATTATAAAGAAAATTCAGGACTGCAAAAGGATAATCATTCAACAGCAGGAAGGGTATTAAAACAAAGTTATCGCAAAGGGTCCAATTTTTTTTAATAAGAGAACATGTTATAGTTACCTGTTCTGTGAAATGGCTTGGCACAGAGCAACCTCGATCCTACTCTTCATGCCCCCCCCCCCCCCCCCAGTGCTTTCTAGCCACTTTCATTAGGGGCACTCATGCAGGCTCACTTCCATGCCACACTGTCTTTGCCTATCGACACAGACAGCGGGGCTTGGCCCCACCCCCCCACTCCCTCGTCATAGTGTTTGATTGACAGGAGCGGGAGCCGATGGCTCTTACTGCTAACAACCTGCCCAATGAGGAGAGACAGAGCTGGGAGAGCTGCTGCTCTCGTGCACATCTGCGTTCAGGTACTTATAAGGGGGGCTGGGTACATGAATGCATAGAATGAAGGTAAAAAACCTCAAGAGGCTTTACCACTTTAAAGGAAAATGTGTCAGGCACTAAAAACTTTGAAAGTCCTCTGTGTGCACGCCTGCCACAGCGATGCAGAGAAAACTTTATATCATTCCTATATTTATGCTCATAATTGTCTAACAGAAGTTCTTTGTATTGTATCCATTATGGAACACCCTCATCACTCTTGTCCTCAAACATGCTTCGTAAAGCTGATAAAGTATGAAATGCCCTGCGAAAAATATGAAGATGCTGCATTAAGGACATTTTTTTTTTTTTTTTAAATAGATGCAAGGGAGGGGGCAACCCCACCAGTCCAGACCAGTTTTATACCTGCCCACGATATGTGGAATGTAAAGGTGTCATTCCGTGTTCTATAACTGTAACCATGGATGTGGATAAGACTACCGAAGAAGTCATCATATCTCTCAGACATGAAAGTGTCAGAACGGTCTTAGATTTTCCCTTTGCGACAGTCCATCATTCTACCAGGAGACCCAATAACAGAGGTGGTGTCATGTTAATTATGACATGAGAACATACCTTGCTTAGCCTTAGGAAGAACTGGCATGTTCGTAAATTCATTCATCAGTCTCACACTGAAAGAAACAAAAGAGGATTTGTATTAGACAAAACATATGCCCCTCTCCACCAGCTTTACCCCATTCCTGTTTAGACCAGTGACATCACTGAAAATGCAGCCTATCCATTCACTAGAGAGCGGTGACATCACTGAGAATGCAGCCTATCCGTTCACTAGAGAGCGGTGCCTGAGAATCCGTTCACTAGAGAGCGGTGACATCACTGAGAATGCAGCCTATCCATTCACTAGAGAGCAATGACATCACTGAGAATGCAGCCTATCCATTCACTAGAGAGCAATGACATCACTGAGAAAACAGCCTATCCATTCACGAGAGAGCGGTGACATCACTGAGAATGCAGCCTATCCATTCACTAGAGAGCGATGACATCACTGAGAATGCAGCCTATCCATTCACTAGAGAGCAGTGACGTCACTGAGAATGCAGCCTATCCGTTCACTAGAGAGCGGTGACATCACTGAGAATGCAGCCTATCCGTGCACTAGAGAGCGGTGACATCACTGAGAATGCAGCCTATCCATTCACTAGAGAGCGGTGACATCACGAAAAATGCAGCCTATCCATTCACTAGAGAGCAATGACATCACTGAGAATGCAGCCTATCCATTCACTAGAGAGCAATGACATCACTGAGAAAACAGCCTATCCATTCACGAGAGAGCGGTGACATCACTGAGAATGCAGCCTATCCATTCACTAGAGAGCGGTGACATCACTGAGAATGCAGCCTATCCATTCAATAGAAAGCGGTGACATCACTGAGAATGCAGCCTATCCATTCACTAGAGAGCGGTGATATCACTGAGAATGCAGCCTATCCATTCACTAGAGAACGGTGACATCACTGAGAATGCAGCCTATCCATTCACTAGAGAACGGTGACATCACTGAGAAATGCAGCCTATCCATTCACTAGAGAGCGGTGACATCACTGAGAATGCAGCCTACGTATTTACCTGAGATCATGGTCCAACAACACTACAGATCAAGCGGTCACTCAGCTGGAGGTGTCAGAATAAAGAGTGCAGTGGACCTTTCCTAAAGCCTGCAGCCTAGGGGCGGTAAGTTGTGAGGTGGCTCTCTTAATTATTAAAACAGTTTTTGACATCCTCCACAGAAATCAAGACTATTTGCTGAGAGTTCAAATGGACTTTAATATACATTTGACATGTTGAATACTTACAAGCTGTCAATCATTGGTGTTGATGTACACGGCCTGTCGAGTTTGGTGTACATTGGAATGCACTTCATAAGATGATACATCGGTGGACAAGCCACCAGAGCCTGCAGTGTCTAAGGAAGGGGTGTTAAGGAATGCAACAAGCACAGTAACAATCACTTCGAACACATACAGAATCAATCAACCATGTACCCCGACTGGGTGTGACAAAAGCTAAAGCTAGGTCGGAATTCCATATAAAGGATACAGCATTAATATAGCACCAGTTGCCTTTGTTGAGGAGTCCTCTGGGTTGTAATGATACCGGTTTGTGGACAAGCTTCACATTCTCCAACACCTCTGCAAATAAAACCAAAATTTCATCACTAAGGAATTAAACAATACACTTTGTGAACACCTGATCATCATACACCTATATGAACTTGTTGGACATCCTATTCCAAAACCATGGCCAACAATATGGTGATAACCTCTTTGCAGCTATACCATCCCCCACTCTTCTGGGAAGGCTTCCACAAGATTTTGGAGGGTGTCTGTAAGCCAGGTCTTCTCATCCAACATCAATACCTGATCTCAGAAATGGCAACAAATTCCCCCAATCAGTGTTAGAATTCATCCCAGAGGTGTTCAATAGGGTTGAGGTCATGGCTCTGCATTCCTCCACACCAAGTCTTTATGGAGCTGACTTTGTACAGAGGAGCACAGTCATGATGGAGCAGAAAAGGGTCTTCACCAAACTTACCACAAGGTTGGAAGAGCACAACAGTCTACAAAGTCTTTGTATGATGTCGGATTGAGGCCCCTTCACTGGGAACACCTGAACGCCATCATATGGAGGGAGGTTGATGCATTTTGGTCATATAGTACACATATACATTCGAAAAAAACTATTTTCAGTTTTTTGAAGATGCCGGAGAGTTAAACTAACAGCCAACACTTCCTGTCTGTAGTATAAATCAGCATTTAAGAGCTCATTTGGCATTACTCTGGAACAGGGGTATTCAAATTTACTAAACAAAGGGCCATATTACAGTCCATCAGATTTTAGAGGGGCCAAACTGTGCCAGTTAGAGTAGAAAATGACCCAACAGCAGTGGAATTAAATAATGCCTATAGCCAGTAGGAGGAGAACCAGTGCCCCACCGTTGGCGGCAGCGGGAGGACCAGTGCCCCACCGTTGGCGGCAGCGGAGGACCAGTGCCCCACCGTTGGCGGCAGCGGGGAGGACCAGTGCCCCACCGTTGGCGGCAGCGGGAGGACCAGTGCCCCACCGTTGGCGGCAGCGGGAGGACCAGTGCCCCACCGTTGGCGGCAGCGGGAGGACCAGTGCCCCCCGTTGGCGGCAGCGGGAGGACCAGTGCCCCTCTAAATCAGGGTTCGACAAATCCCAGGTGCCAGATCGACCATAAATTAAGCCTGGGCAATGGTCAACCCACTCCCACTGCTCTATGCCCCAGACATGCAGCTCCAGGCACGGGGCCACCAATACTTCTCTCTCCCCCTTGCCGGTCTCCATAGGTTTTCCTGGAAGCAGGCAGTAGACTGGGCTAGAGTCCCTTGTCCGGCTGTCAAGCTCAGTGTCAGTTGGGGTGGCCGGGCTTCTCTCCTCAGGCAGCCACTATCCAATCCCCCAATGCCCGAACAGGGTCCGAGGATGAGCCTGCGCTGTTGGCTCTTCTGCTGCCTGCCGTGCCAGGGGCACATCACCGCCAAGCTGGCCTTGCTCCCCCCGGAGCTCACCTGGTGTGTACACGGTGCGGGAGGCAAAGGGGTCAGCAGGGGGTGAGGTGGGGATTCGGCGGTCTGTGTGCCGCCCCGTGTGACCTCCATCAAATACAGCAGGTGGACTGGCAGTACCTCCCTGCAGAAGATTGATGCGATGGAGGATGGAGCTGTCTGGCTGTATGTTCACCTGCTATGCCCATGAGTGTGTGACACACATGGGGTAGGACCAGACGTTGGGTGTATACAGGGGGGAGGACCAAACCCAGGGCATATATAAAAAGGGAGAGTAAGGGACATGTGTATACAGAGGAGGGGGGGGGGGGGGGGGGCAGGGTGCATATAGAAAGGGGGGGAGGTGAAGCAGATCCAGTGTGTATACAGAGGAGGGGGGAGGGCAACCAGGCTATATGGGGGGGGAGGGGTCAGGGCTTGACAAATCCCAGGTTCCCACGGGGACCAGAAACCACATCCTGGTACCTGGCCTTCTACCAGCCCACTCACCGTGAGCAATTGCGCGACATGCAGCTTACCCACAGCAGAGCCAAACTTTCTCTCTTCCTCTCCACACACCGGCACCCCCATGCAAGAAGCCTTATATGAGTACACCTTAAAGATCAATCACAAGTGTAGCACTCTACTGTGCCTCTGAAAAGCGATCCACAGCAGAGCAGCAGCTGCCAGGAATTCAGGAGGAATGGTTGCAGCGCAGTCCCATTTACGTGCATGGGTCACATGTGGTGGCGGTACAGCCTGCCATCATTTCGGCAGAGCCACAAAGTTAAGCAAAGCGTTGCAGCAATAGCATTCTGTACTAAACAACCCCCTGGTCACCTTTGCACAGTGTAGGTGCAAGTCTGGGAAGGACAGAAGTAAAAGCACAGACAGACCACCTGTTTCTATTGCCCAACAGCCAGCCATGTGAATGAGGCCTTATCCTGAATCTAAAGCCAGAACTGCCAACCGGATTGCTGCAACACAGCGTCCCCCAGTACAGCATGCACTGAGCACCATCTAGTGGTCATATACAAAATTACTGCAAAATATGGAGACACTGGCTTAAAAAAAATTGCACAGTATCTGAAATAGTCGCTTGCAAGGTTTTCCATTTCCATGAATGATTTTTTAATTTTCTCACAATGTGCCTCTGAACCTGCTAGGAAATTTGACTTTCAGTAACAGCCTCTTTGCACAACCCCTGCCCTCCTCAAATCCCTCTCCTCTTTCTGGGAGTGTCCAATTACTGTCTGTGCTGGTCCAGCTTCTTTGCCCCCCCCCCCCCCTTTCTCCTCCCTATATAATCCTTAATGTAAGGGGGAATATATATATATATATATATAATATATATATATATATATATATAAAAAAGCGCTGTATAAATTCACAGCGCTAAATAAGTACCTGAAATAAATAAATAATTGCCCCCCACTGAAGGGGTACAATTGCTGCTAATGACACCCAATGATGAGACACAATTCCTCCCGTTGACAACACGATGTGGTCCAATTTCTCCCAGTGACACCAACAATGAGGCCCAGTGACACTGATGAGGCACAATCCCTTCCAATGACACCACAAATGTGGCATTGTTTTTTTCAACTAAAGTCAGGACATTTTCTACTCCCAATGGCCACAGTTCAGCGCCCCCCCCCCCCCCCCCCCCCCAAAAGTCCAAAGGACGGTAAACTGGCCCTTTGTTTAGAAAGTTTGGAGACCCGATATAGAGGGTCATTTAAGCTCTTAGTCTGACATCACATCCAAGATGGCGGCACCCAGCAGCAGTCTCAGGGCTTTTGGAGGTCTACACAACAGATGCTTTTACAGGTTTAAAAAAAAAAAATGAACTAAACACGTTGAAGTGGTACAATTCCTGCCAATGACAGGACACAATTCCTCCCAGTGACACCAACGATGAGGCCCAGTGACACCAACGATGAGGCCCAGTGACACCAACGATGAGGCCCAGTGACACCAACGATGAGGCCCAGTGACACCAACGATGAGGCACAATCCCTTCCAATAACACCACAAATGTGGCATTTTTTCCAACTGAAGTCAGGACCTTTTCTACTCCCAATGGCCAAGGTCCGGCCCCCCCATAAAGTCCGAAGGACAGTAAACTGGCCCTTTGTTTAGAAAGTTTGAAGACCCCTGCTATAGAGGGTCATTTAAGCTCTTAGTCTGCTGGAGCTGCTGACATCACATCCAAGATGGCGGCACCCGGCAGCCATCTCAGGCCTTTTGGAGGTCTACCCAACAGACGCTTTTACAGGTAAAAAAATGTATTCAACACATTACATGCACATATACTCTTTTGGGAAGATTCTTGTTGCAATCAATGGGATGGTGCAGGGACATCCTCTCACAAGGTTTGGGGTCCTTTCACACTTTTTATAAAAGTAACACAGGATTATTTGTACAGCTAATTTCTATACTTGTTAACCCCTTCGCGGAGGCGCCTCCTGGCCCTTTAAGGGTTTCAGAAGCCGGGAGGCGGGTTTATGGTCATGTGACACGCCGTCACATGATCGGGAAAGGTCCCGATCAAAAAAGAAGAGATCGGGACCTTTCCGTGACTACCGGACATGTGTGCTGGGAGCGAGAGCTCTCCGCATGTTTTTTTAATAGAACGCAAATTTGCGGCCGCTCGGCGTCTAGGCCCAGACGCCGGGAGGCCACACATTGGCGTTTAGCCGGTGTGAAGAGGTTAATAAATGGACTTACCTGTAATTCCATATCTTGGTGTATAGTACAGGACACAAACATGGGTGTTCATAGACCTTGGGGGTTAGCCTTGTACCTTCAGGCGACTAGACATTGGCAAACCTTGAAGGTCGTGCCCCCTAGGCATTCCCCTAAACAACTCTTCCCACGCCACCAGTCCTCAGTTTTTAGGAAGCAGTGCAGTGAACACAGGAAGGGAGGGTGTTCTGTGTCCATATACTCCGAAGATATGGAAATTACAGGCAAGTTAAATTGCTCTTACCTTAATCTCTTCACACCAGCCGAACGCAAATGTACGGCCTCCCGTCTGGGCCTAGACACCGCACGGCTGCACATTTGCAGTCTATTAAAAAAGGACATATGTGCCGAGAGCGCACGCCCTGCGCGCTCCCAGCACACATGTCTGGTACTCACGGAAAGGTCCCGATCTCCTTTCGATCGGGACCTTTCCCGATCATGTGACCGCCGTCATGACCCTAAACCCCGCCACGCCTTCTGAAACTTAAAGGTCTGGCCGGGAGGCGCTGGCGTGAAGGGGTTAATCTTACACTGCCGGACACAGGCTTGGTGTTTATAGACCTTGGGACATCCCTAAGCAATGAATACGAAGGGTGGCCAATAACGAAGCAAACCAAACTGTGCCAACAGGCCCAACACACGTTAGGATCAATGGACCCAACTTCAGAGTGCTGCTGCAACAATTGTGTGGCCCAAAGCGGTACCCCCAGAGGACTGAACATCCTCATGGTACATCCACATGGTAGAACTTTGAGGTAGGACTCACGCAGTAGGGCAGGGGTGTCAAAAGGTGTCCCTCCATCTGTTACAAAACTACAAGTCCCATCATGCCTCTGTCTTTGGGAGTTATGCTTGTAACTGTCAATCTTTCAATGCCTCATGGGACTTGTAGTTTGGCAACAGCTGGCCGCCAGTTTGATACCCGTACAGTAGGGTACGGTTATATAGGGGAAACCCCTACCCCAGGGTTTATGATTGCAAATCCTGTGTCCTGTGCTGTATGATGAGGATAATTATGCAGCCAACACATCCAAGGAATGGTAAGCTTCAACATATTACATTTTTGTTCTTGCTTTTAGATTTCCATTAAAGTGGTAACCCAAAATGTAATACATTGCAGCTTACCAATCATTAGATGTGCTGGCAGCATTAGTTTTATTTTTTTTTTTTTTTAGGCTTTTACCTGGTGATCTGGCGAGTAACACACCTCCTGTATTAAAGTGCCTCCGCTCTAGATGGAGCACAGGGGGGGCACCTTTGGACAGCAAGATTGTCAGTCTGGGGGAAGGGTAGTGTTAGATGCAGTAGCTGATTTACATACACTATCAAAATTGAAGCTGAACTCTATAAGCAGGTACAGCAAAGTTTTTTTTCTTTTGGAATAAAGGTTTTACATAAATACATCAAAGCTGACCGCTGTAAGCACCCCTGCTAGTGTTAAATGGTTTGGCTCATTCCTGTAACTGCAAAAGAGCTTGTTCCATTGAAAAACAACAGATTTACTGAAAAGATCACCAGGTGAAAATAGAAGAAAGCCTAAAAAAAAGGAAACTAATGCAGCTATCACATCTAAGAACTTATAAGCTGCAATATAATAAAATGTTTGCTCTTGGGCTTAATACAGCTTTGAAGTGGAGTTCCACCCAAAAGGGGAAGTTCCGCTTTTATGCTTTATCCCCCGCTCCCCATTAAGAATTGGCACCTTTGGGGAGTGGGCACCCGAATTTAACAGGTACCCGCTCCCACTTCGATCGCCTAGATCAGAAGCGAAAGTCATCCTCCCACCCTGTAGTCTTCTGGGGTACGTGACAGGTCCCAGAAGACTACGGGGCCATTCACAAAGCGCAGCACTTTTTTGCGCATGCGCAGTGGGCACCTGGCTGTGAAGCCGCAAGTTGTCACAGCCGGGTGCCCACACTAAAGATGCCGGCGCCAGTGAGAGGAGACGGCCGGTGAAAACCAGCGGTGGTGAGGACACACCGCTGGACCAAGGGACAAGTAAGTGTCTGTATTTTAAAAGTGTTGGGTAACACACCTCCTATATTAGAGTGCCTCCACTCTAGATGGAGCACAGGGGGCACCTTTGGACAGCAACACTTTTTTTGTAGCTGCTGACTTTCTTTTTTTTGTCAGCTGGAACTCCGCTTTAAGAAAACTGTGCACAGTAAGGCATGATACCAAACAGAGTGAAAAACAGATTCTGGGTTTACATCAATACTCCAGTACACCAAAACTCAACTGTCCCCCTGCCCGTTCCCCATATTTCCTCTCTTCTGGGTGTGTTGGGTCGCCCAAGTTTACCTTCTTCACACTCTGGTTTCAAATGCAAGCCCCTACACATTAGTGATACAGGGGCCGGCAATTAGAACCACAGCAAGCGGCGGGGAGGCCGGCACCTGACAAAACTCAGAAGTGTCAGATGTAAAGAATCTGCTGAGGAATCTCTGAGGAATCGGCAGAGAGATTGGAGTGTATTAATAGTGGAAGGAGCAGCCAAATTACAATGAACAGGAAACAAGGAAGGGACACCACTTCCTTCTGTCCCAAAATAATCGCACACATTATACCTGCAATCTTTATGGCTAGCGGGTCCTCTGACACTGGAACAGGGCCCTCCTTCTCCTCAACCTGTTTCTCAGCAGCCTGAGGGGTTGTGGCGGGAGGGGAATACTTAGTCTCAACATAGGCCACCTGCGGAGACGTGGAGGGCTTAGAATTATGGAAAAGACTAGCCCAAGACTTAGCTGGTGGGTTTGCAGAGGAGGAGGGCGCTGACGCCTGGCCGACAGGCTGAGGGAGCGATGTGTCCTCCGGCTTGGCTGACTCAGAGACGGAGGCGGCCTCCGGGTGACAGTCCACCCCGTTAGAGGCAGGCACGTCCTCTGTGGTTTCAAGTGTCTGTCCATTGGTAACTCCAAGGTTTTCAGTAGTATCAGGGGCAGCCGGAGGCTGCTCCACAGCTGTCCTTACTGGGCTCTCCCTCCCGGCGTCCGGGGGGATGCAGGGTGGCGGTGAGAGGGTAACACTGCATGTCTCAGGCTGTCCAGCAGTCCTATCATTGTCTAGTGCACTAGGAAGAGAAGGAGCCTCGTCACTGGCAGTCTCACTATTATAGTCCACAGAAGGATCTGGGCTGTTACAAGTCCTAGGAGAGGCCGACAATAGCGGTACGTCCTCCGCAGCCTCTGGCTCGTCGGTGCCTATACTGTTAAATCCCCCGGCACCGGCGTGCCCGTTGACCAGGGTCTCTGAGTGGGTGCCATCATCAGCAACCCCTTCCAAGTAACTGTAGTATCCAGGAGGTCTTTTTTTCTTCTTTTTGCGCTCTCTCTGGCCCAACCCAGAGGTGCCATCGCTGTCTGCGTTGCCGCTTCCGTCAGGGAGGGTGGCTTCGGAGTACTGACCGTCGACACCATCACAGTTGTTGGCGTGGAGGACGTCGTCGTCGGAGGTCTTCTGTGCTGGAGTGCAGGCGAGGATGAACTCTGGGGCTTGCGGGTTCAAGGTGCTGGAAATACTATAGTCGGAATTATTGACGAGGCCTGCGTCCGGGTCGATTACTTCACTGACGCCAAATTCGATGCGCTGATATTCGTCACCTGAAAGACAACAGTTGTTAGTCGACAAGATTGTACAACAGGTAGTGCAGTCAGCATACTTTGAGATAATTAGCCGAGTGTTTCTTATTCAACATAAGCAGATAAATATGCAGGTATGAAACAGACCACGTACTTTTGGTCTTAAACAATGGGGGGGGATTCTGGGGGGGGGGGGGGGGGGGGGGGGGGGGGGGGTGGGGGGGGGGTGGGGGGGGGTGGGTGTGAGTGTGTGTGTGTGGGGGGGTGTGTGTGTGGGTGGGTGGGGGGGTGGGGTGTGTGTGGTGTGTGTATTAGGCTCCGACAGAGCCCTGATGTAAGTGGGTCTCTACTGGGGATCCCGATGCAATGGGGTCTCTGATAGGGAGACCAATGTAAGAGGAAACTGACTCGGACATAAAGGTACGGGGCAGGACTCTGATGACGATTTTTTTTTTTTGGGGGGGGGGCGCAAATATATGATGTGGTCCTTGTACTGCAAAGTTTGAAGACCCCTGGGCTAGAAGATTGCTATGCTATGACAATGAACTGTTATCCATTAAGGAGAGAACACATGATATCTCAAGGTAAAGTTGATTTCCTACACAGGTTTTTCACAGCTGGTATCTAAGGATTTCTAGAAGAGCTGACATAAGAAAGGGAGCAGCCTCTGTGCTCACAGGTACAAAGAAGGGACAGCATAAGAAATATCCAGGGTCACTTTACAGTGACTTTCTTCATTTGAAAAATGACAAAAATGCGCAACATGAAAGAAAACTATTACACTCTGCTGTGATCTTTGTTCTTTACAGAGTAATAGCCTCTAAATATCTGACACATTCCAGGCATGCATGGTCCCCCGCTTGTGTTCTCTGGTTCTATACACCAGCCCCCATGTCATGACAGGACACAGCAGTGACAGAGGCCACATGAAACCATAGCGCACAGCAGGGGCTAAGTAGGCGGCTGACACTCCCAAAGTGTCAAATGTGAGGATGCTTCAGGCAGCCATAGTTCAGAGGAACAGCGGCCTCCCAACTCATTCCTCGAGAGATTATATATATATCTAATATATCTATCTATCTACACACACGGTAAAAGTATTGAGCATGTCTCCATTTTTCTCAGCAAATATATTTCTAAAGCTGCTATTGACATGAAGTTTTCACCACATGTCGGTAACAACCCACGCAATCCATACATACAAAGAAAACAAAAACCACATAAGTTCAGAAATTAAAGTCATGTGTAATAAAATTGAATGACACAGGGAAAAAGCATTGAAAAACGCTAACTAAATTTATTTACTACTTCGTACAAAAATCCTTTGTTGGTAATGACAGCTTCAAGATGCCTCCTGTATGGAGAAACTAGTGGCATGCATTGCTCAGGTGTGATTTTGACCCATTCCTTCACACAAATCTTCAAATCTTAAAGGTTCTATGGGCTTCTTCTATGAACTCTGATCCTTAGTGCTTTTCATAGATTTCATGTCAATAGCACCTTTAGAAACATATTTACTGAGAAAAATGGTGACGTGTTCAATACTTATTTTTCTAGATGGAGAGAGGGACTTGAACGCTGTGATTCCACATACATGCGTACAGTGGGTACTACTGTTTTGTGCTGGGAGCATGCTCAAACACATATCCCCAGCACTGACAGACAATTCCAGGTCACTATCTGCAATTGTGAGCTAGTAGGAAGGGCCCCTTGATCACTTGTCCACAGTGACAGCCATTCAGAGTGACCACTTGATTGGAAACACCTCCATCATTAAGATCCCCTTAAAAGGTCAAGAGTCCCACCCTAGAGGGGCTTTAGCGATATAAAATGGTCCATACACTAAAAAAGTTTTAAATAAACCTGGCCGAGGACCATTACACCTTCCCTTCCGCATAGTCTAAGGGCCCCATATGTGTAGATTAGTACATGGGGCCATATGGTAGCCTGCAACCACCCAAACAGGTAAAATACTGAAAACGAACGATGAGACTTACCATCTTGATCACTTGAAGACTGAGGCCCATACAATATGGTTTCATTAAAAGGTGGGAGCTACGGAGACATAAAACAGTTTATCAACCTTTTGGCAGAGAGAGTTACATGATCTTTAGCCCCTTTGTGCGTGACTGGACTTTGCTCATTACAATGTGTCTGTTGTGCAGTGTTTGCCCCGTGACCTACAAGAAATTCTAATAGAACTAAAGGAAAAACTTTTTTTCATTTTAAATACAGTGACCTTTTCCAGGTTTTTTTTTTTTTTTTTTTTTTGCCATCTGTGTCCCATTGGGAAGACTTTCCTTTACTTCCTGTCCCATAGCCAAAAAAGTGAGGAAATTCCCCAAAATGAGGGAATCCCTGATTGCAAGGATTCAACCTGTCTGTAGCCCCCTTGTCCTCCTTATTTTCACCCTCAGGCCTGGGAGGAATAAAGCTCCAGACACCGAAGTGTGCAAACGAAATCTCTGAAAGCTTAATGCATGACAAGAACGGGTACAGAACTCAGTAGGTGTTGCTTTATCTTAGGATAACCAATGAAACATTCCATTCTTATCAATATAGTTGGTTGTCACCAGAACTAGTGTCCACGATGGAAGATTTCTGCTCTGTTCCCATTCTGGTGACTCAAAATGTAGTATTTTTGTCATTTTCCAAAAACATTGCAAATAGAGGGGGTGAATCGTCCTAATGGGGACACAGACAGCAGTAAAAACCTGACAGGGGATCTAATACCTCTGCTCTAACCATAATAATAAAAAAAAAAAAGTTCTGCCTTTAGTTATACTCCAAGTACTTCTCTACAAATCTGCTCTCCAAGAAAGTGGACTAGTTTACCTTATGGTCTGAACACCAGGCTTACTATTTGTTGGCGTCATATAAATTTTCTAATGTGGCGTTCAGGGGCGGACTGACAACTCATGGGGCCCCCAGGCAATAGGGGATCATGGGGACCCTGTGTCCTTGCCCAAACTCAAAAAAGCCTATGAAAAAAGGTATCAGGGGCATCTCATGGGGCCCCCTACTGACCCCGGGCCCTCGGGCAGTGCCCGAGTTTCCAAATGGTCAGTCCGCCCCTGGTGGCGTTTGAATGATTTAAATATTAGGACACGGTCTCTTTAACCTCTTCACGCCGGCCGCACACAAATGTGCGGCTTCCTGGTGTCTGGGCCTAGACGCCGAGCAGACGCACATTTCTGTGCAATTAACAAAAACATATGTGCTGAGAGCGCACGCCCTGCGCACTCCCAGCACACATGTCCGGTACTCATGGAAAGGTCCCGATCTCCTCTTTCGATCGGGACCTTTCCCGATCATGTGACAGTGGCTAAATAGTTAGCACTTCCGCCTGGTAGTACTAGGGTCGTTGGTTCGAATCCCAGCCACGGCACCTCCTGCCTGGAGTTTGCATGTTCTCCCTGTGCGGGTTTCCTCCGGGTACTCCGGTTTCCTTCCACACTCCAAAGACATGCTGGGAGGTTAATTGGATCCTGTCTAAATTGTCCCTAGTATGTGTATGTATGAATGTGAGTTAGGGACCTTAGATTGTACGCCCCTTGAGGGTTAGGGACTGATGTGAATGTACAATATATATGTAAAGTGCTGTGTAAATTGACGGCGCTATATAAGTACCTGAAATAATAATGTGACCACCGTGACGGCAAATCACGGCGGTCACATGACCCTAAAACCCTGCCCCACCTCCCGACTTCTGAAACCCTTAAAGGGCCGGGAGGCGCCGGCACCATGGGGTTAAAATATCCACACTCCCTTTAGTGGCTGCAGCTGGTAATCCAGCTCTAGCCTGAGCCTAAGGCCAGCGGTGGGCAACTGTGGAACTCCGGCTGTTGCTGAACTACAAGTCCCAGCATGCCTCTGCCTTTCGGAGTCATGCTTCTGTCCGTCTTGCAATGCCTCATGGGACATCTAGTTCCACAACAGCTGGCGAGCTGCAGCTGCCTTCCCCCAGCCGAGGCCACAGAGCAGAAGAGTGGCCCTTTTCCTCCAGCACCACCAGATGCACATCGATCCCCATGTCATGCTTACAGGTCACTTACCTCCACTGTACAGCGAGCACTGACAAAGAATTGCTTGAATTCGTCATCGCTGAACTCCCCAAAAATATACTGGAAAAAAAAAAAAAAAAGCAAATTAGAGATTGCAGAGAATATGTACTGTGATAGTTTGAATGACAATTACTCTGCACTAATACAAATGTAATATTTAGAGAGCTAAAAAAAAAAAATTTAAAAAACTTATATTAAAAATTAAAGAAAAACATTTAAAAATCAAAACAAAACAAAAAAAACCCTCCTGATGTTTCGACTACCAATCACATTTCTTGACACCCTAAAATGCCCCCAAAATTGTTTAGGATATAGCAGATTGTAGGGTCAGGACCATACTGCACAGAACAGCTTGCAGAATTCAGCGCTCAGAAGTTATGCCCCCTAATGGCAGTAGTTGTAACGAATATCCCTTTAAAGAATGCTGATTGGTGGTGTTTTTTTTTTAACTTGAACACTGTTGGTCAGTGGGAACAGTGCTACTTACAGTTTGGTGGAGGAAGAGGACAGGGAGGGTTTGTTGACTTTTTGCTTGTATTTCTGTTTTCATTATATACCTTGCTTAAAACCCAGTGATCACTAGGTCTCTTTGCTTCTCTATGCAATGCAAGCATATTCATGGCTGATAGGATGGTATACTGCCTTAAAAAATAAATAAAAATAAACAGCACCCAGCCTTAGAGCCCTCAGTCCTGATGCAAGCAGTGGGATGGCTCCTGGGAGGAGTTATGCAAATATCAAAATGCATTGATGGGTGGGTGTGTCTTGAGTGGGAGTTCCTAGGCAGCCTGTATTTGCATGCAGACCACCCACATGTGATCCTGAGCTGAAAACTAATAAAAGTGGCGGACCAGGGACAGTCAAAGCTGGGGTGGAAAGAGCTAGATGCTGCTGGATGTCATCCTGACACAGTGTTAACTTTCTGCATCTTCTAATGTACACTTTAGAAAGCGCACAGTGTGCAGCGATATCAGAACAAACCATTTCATTCCAGGAGAGAAACCGGTAACCAGTGGGCGGGGCAGTGACACCAAAGATGGAACCATTTTATATTGGTGTCGCCAGATTCCGGTAGCTATTGTAGAAGAGAGAGCCAGGCTCCAAACATAGAAAAATAAGAAGAACAGGTAATGTCGGCCATAGACGGGTCGAAAATTGGCTGATTTTTCGGCCGAGGGGGGAAAAAAAAAAAAAAAAAAGAAAATCGGCCGATTTTCGCACCATTAGTGGGTTAATTGGTCGGCCATTTTTCGAGGTTTTGACACTTTTATCGGTCAAGCTGGAAAATGCACAGCCGATTTTGACGATCAGCCGATCGTTTTACTGATAAAAAAATCTGTGCATGAGGAGGAGGAGGAGGAGGAAGGAGAGGGAGGAGGAGGAGGAAGGAGGAAGAGGGAGGAGGAGGAAGGAGGAAGAGGAAGGAGGAAGAGGGAGGAGGAGGAGGAGGAAGGAGGGAAGGAGGAAGGAGGAAGGAAGGAGGAAGGAGGAGGAAGGAGGAGGAAGGAGGAAGGAGGAAGGAAGAGGAGGAGGAGGAGGAGGAGGAGGAAGAGGGAGGAGGAGGAAGGAGGAAGAGGGAGGAGGAGGAAGGAGGAGAGGGAGGAGGAGGAAGAGGGAGGAGGAGGAAGGAGGAAGAGGGGAGGAGGAGGGGGAAGAGGAAGAGGGAGGAAGGAGGAAGAGGGAGGAGGAGGAAGGGGAGGGAGGAGGAAGGAAGGGAGGAGGAGGAAGAAGAGGGAGGAAGGAAAGGAGGAGGAGGAAGGGAGGAGGAAGGAAGAGGGAGGAGGAAGAGGAGGAGGAAAGGAGGAAGAGGAGGAGGAAGAGGAGGAAGAGGAGGAAGAAGAAGAGGAAGAAGAAGAAGAGGAAGGAGGAAGAGGAGGAAGGAGGAAGAGGAGGAAGGAGGAAGAGGAGGAAGGAGGAAGAGGAGGAAGAAGAAGAGGAAGAAGAAGAAGAGGAAGAAGAAGAAGAGAGAAGAAGAAGAAGAGGAAGAAGAAGAAGAGGAAGAAGAAGAAGAGGAGAAGAAGAAGAGGAGGAAGAGGAAGAGGAGGAGGAAGAGGAGGAGGAAGAGGAGGAAGAGGAGGAGGAAGAGGAGGAGGAAGAGGAGGAGGAAGAGGAAGAGGAGGAGGAAGAGGAGGAGGAGGAGGAGGAGGAGGAGGAAAGAAGAATTCCAGTCTATTATAATTCATATGAAAAGTCTTGTGGTTGCAACAAATGTATCCATTTATATCCGAATAAAAACATCTGTATCCGAAATGACTTTTTCATGTAAAATATAATAGCGGAGCTCTCTGCAAGGGACAGAAGTAAAAATGCCGGCCATAGACGGGACGAAAATTCAGACGATTTTTTTTACCGTTGGTGGTAACGTCGGCAGATCGAACGACCGTTTTTTTTTTTTTTTTTTTTTTTTAAACAGCCGGTTTTCGACCCGTCTATGGCCTGCATAAGTCTTGTGTCTCTGAATCATATTTATGGAATGTCAGTGCAGCTTCATCTGGAATCAGAGGTGAGCCATGTATCAAGAAGAAGAAAACTACAGAAGATCTGTGATTGGATTTCTCCCAGACATATTCTCACCTTTCCCCCCCTCCACGCTCATGAATGAGTCAACTCAAGTTACGGAGCAAAGGTCTCCAAACCCTCCAAACCGGCACCCTCACCCCTCCCCCACCCCGTGAGTTCGGCTTTTGTACAGAAACAACTTTGTTGTGCACAATGTGGCCTAATCCTGAGATGGCTCCGCGCTCCCAGCCCGGCGGAGAAAAGTGCAGGCCCAGCATGTGGAACTCTTTGTACGTGAACACGGAGATTGCTGAACCGGCATTAGTGTGACAAATGACTGTAATCCACGGGCCCCGCGCCAGCAAATCCTATTACAACACACACTGCTCTGTGGCTGCTGTTACACGCCACGGCCATGGAGATCTACCATGACCAAATGTATGAGGGAGAGAGATCATTGGATGGTCACACTGCTCAGGCGGAAAGGGTTCAGTTTTGGGTGGATGTCAGCTGGACACCTTGTGATTGATACAAAGTTGCAATCTGATAACTGGGGGGAGAGGAGACTGGGGAAATGCTTCCCCTTGCTTGCAGCAGACTGATCGCTGGGGGAGAGGAGAATGAGGAAATGCTTCCAGCAGACTGATCACTGGGGGAGAGGAGACTGAGGAAATGCTTCCAGCAGACTGATCACTGGGGGAGAGGAGACTGAGAAAATGCTTCCAGCAGACTGATCACTGGGGGGAGTGGAGACTGAGAAAATGCTTCCAGCAGACTGATCACTGGGGGGAGTGGAGACTGAGAAAATGCTTCCAGCAGACTGATCACTGGGGGGAGTGGAGACTGAGAAAATGCTTCCAGCAGACTGATCACTGGGGGGAGTGGAGACTGAGAAAATGCTTCCAGCAGACTGATCACTGGGGGGAGTGGAGACTGAGAAAATGCTTCCAGCAGACTGATCACTGGGGGGAGAGGAGACTGAGGAAATGCTTCCTTGCAGCAGACTGATCACTGGGGGAGAGGAGACTGAGGAAATGCTTCCAGCAGACTGATCACTGGGGGAGAGGAGACTGAGGAAATGCTTCCAGCAGACTGATCACTGGGGGAGAGGAGACTGAGGAAATGCTTCCAGCAGACTGATCACAGAGGGGGAGGAGACTGAGGAAATGCTTCCCTTGCTTGCAGCAGACTGATCGTTGGGGGAGGGGAGACTGAGGAAATGCTTGCAGAAGACTGATCACTGGGGGAGGGGAGACGGAGGATATGCTTCCACATGCTTGCAGCAGACTGATCACTCTGGTAGAGGAGACTGAGGATTTGCTTCCCCCTGCTTGCAGCAGACTGATCAATGGGGAAGGGAGACTGAGGAAATGCTTCCAGCAGACTGATCACGGAGGGAGGGGAGACTGAGGAAATGCTTCCAGCAGACTGATCACTGAGGGAGTGGAGACTGAGGAAATGCTTCCAGCAGACTGATCACTGAAGGGAGGGGAGACTGAGGAAATGCTTCCAGCAGACTGAACACTGGGGGAGAGGAGACAGGAAATGCTTCCCCTTGCTTGCAGCAGACTGATGAGCTCATCTCAGCCTGGGCAGAGCCACTGATGGGACCTCAAGAACGCTTTTCAATGATAAAAGGTGGATCTTTTCTGTAAAATGACACTGTTGCTGTATATTGTGACATGTCCGGGATTTATTCATGCAATAGAGATAATGAAAGGTCAGCTTTAAGGCCCCCGTTTGTGATTCTGGGCAAACTCGCAGCTATTCTGCCCACGATCCCAAAGTGCTCTGCAAAAACGCATGTTCGGGTGCCATTCACTTTCTATAGAACCAAAAGGCAACGTGGTTCTGGCACAATAGATCACGCTGCAATGGCGCTGTGCGAAGCTCGTCATCCAAAAGAGGCTCCTGATCCTATCTGAGCAATAAGCTTAGCGCGGGAAAACCGCAACGCGTTTTGGTGCCATTGAAAATGGATGCCACCAGAACATGCGTGGGGCGATTTGGTAATTTTTTGCAGAGGGCTCTGGGATCACAGGGAGAATCATTGTGATCCTGCCAGCGATGGCAAATGCCCAGATGTGAATAGGGCTTAAGTCTACCCCTGGTGCAGCAGAAAAAGCGAGACTGTGGAGGCAGTTACTGGCTGCTCAGAAGAAGGGCCCTTCCCATGTAACACATCAGAAAGTCTGGCCGCCCCCGGCGGCAGGCCTCCAGTCTCTGGCCGCCCCCGGCGGCAGGCCTCCAGTCTCTGGCCGCCCCCGGCGGCAGGCCTCCAGTCTCTGGCCGCCCCCGGCGGCAGGCCTCCAGTCTCTGGCCGCCCCCGGCGGCAGGCCTCCAGTCTCTGGCCGCCCCCGGCGGCAGGCCTCCAGTCTCTGGCCGCCCCCGGCGGCAGGCCTCCAGTCTCTGGCCGCCCCCGGCGGCAGGCCAGTCTCTGGCCGCCCCCGGCGGCAGGCCTCCAGTCTCTGGCCGCCCCCGGCGGCAGGCCTCCAGTCTCTGGCCGCCCCCGGCGGCAGGCCTCCAGTCTCTGGCCGCCCCCGGCGGCAGGCCTCCCCTCTGGC